CACACCCACCCCCACCCTCTGCCACACATCCCACCCACCATACCCACACCCCCCACACACACTCCTCAACCACACCCCCTCCCAAATACACCCCCTTATGCCCGCCACACACAATATACAAGAGTAAGACTGTATTTGAGCTATGATGCAATCTCTTCTAGATACACTAGGCAAACACATACAAATCAGGACAACAATTTTTTTAAAATAAAATTAAAATAAGTTATAGTAGATGTTTGTTTTTTTAGTATATGATTTGGTTTTATTTCCTGTTTCAAGATGGCAATCCCTGCTCCTTAAAGGAATACTTACAGGGCAAGGTGAGGGACTTCTGGTGGAAAAGGTCAGGGGGCAGGACTTCCAGTCCCAAGATGGCAATCAGAGGGCAGGGAACCTGTCAAGGGACAGGGCTACCCTTGTAGCCCTCAATAGCTCACCAAAATTCATTAAGCAGCCCTCCAGCTAAAATAATTGCCAACCCCTGCATTAATGGCACAGAGCTATATTAATTGGAATCACAGATAGCTAAATCAAAGAGACAGGTTGCATAGAGCACCTCTAAAAGGCTACAAATCCTTAAGTATAAGCATACTACTCATGGGCAACTGGTGCCTCTTGAGTTGGGGGGGGGGCATGTGCCCCCACCAACACCAGTCAGCAACTGGGGGGGTCCCCCAATCTCACTGACAGGGTGACAGGGGTCCCTTTGTGGCCAATCTCACTCACCAAAAGCAGCCATGCCACTTCCTGAAGTCCCACAGCCATTTCCAGAAGTGGCACGCCTACTTTTGCTGGCGGCCCTGCTCCCTGACCGGCGCTCACAGGGGGGCACCGGCACTCCCACCTGCCCCCCTGCCCATCATCTAAACAGGGAGCGCAGCCTGATAGGTGATGCACCAGCACTCTCAGGGGGTTCACATGCACCCCCGTGCATCCCCTACGCATTGCCACTGATACTACTAGTATAAATTAGTATACTAACAGGATTATCTTACCAGCTTCCAGGGTGCATGGCTAAGGGAAACAGTAAAGTAAAATTAATAAAGCTGTATATTTAATTATCTGCAAAGGTGGTCTGAGGTCACATCCAGACAAGGCTTAAAGGAGCAATTTCTTACCCTGAAATGGTTGTTAACCAGAGCAGGTAGTCCAAGCACATATATTAGAAGAAGGTGCTATTAAAGTAAATTCTAAATGGAAGTAGTAAATATGAAGTTGATCTAATAATTAAGTTGAGCCTCAAGAAAGAAATCAGACCAAAATGCAGTACTTTTGACATTAAGCTTCAGTTTGAGATTAGGACCTTTTAGACAGTGAATTAATTGTTTATCCTACTCACACCTGTTGTACCATGATCACATTCCCCTCTCACCCAACAAATGGCTTAAATTCAACACCATGCAAAAATAAAAAATAAGGAAGTTAGTCAGAGAGATTCTAAAGACAAACTAAGTCAATTAACATGCTTAGACTCAATGTGGAAGCAAGTTAAGAAATGAATAGTTGTATGGACAGTATGCATATACCTGAACAAAAAAAAAAAGCAGCAAACAGCAAAAACCAGCATGGATATATGGCAAAGTTCAAATGCTACTTGAGCCAAACAGAAACAGCAAACATTAACAGAATCATCATACAATTCTGAGATGGCAACACTGAAAATCTAAGAATTCCATCACCTAGAAAACTATTCAGTTCTGATCACCTTACCTTAAAAAGGGTAAAGCTAACAGAACAGGATCCAAGACATGCAAAGAAAATGACTGTAAGGAAGGGAAAATGCCTATATGAGAAGAGATTTCAAAATTCAGGACTGTTTATTTAAAAGGAGACACAATAGAATATAAAATATTGAATGTTGTAGAGAAACCATGTGGATGCTGCTCGTTGCCTTTGTAGGTATAAAAGAACAAGAGAACATATGCCATATTGCCAACTTTCACATTTGTATTGCAAGTCTAACAAAAATATGGCATTTTATTTAAATCCCCAGTTCTTTCACAAAAGCAATCACATGAGAATCTGTTTAATTTAAAAACAGTTTTAGGTTATCATAGCTGGGGAGAGAAGTTTTAAAATGTGACTCCAGTGTATCTTTGCAATGCAACACAAGGCAAAGAAAGTAAAACCTAATTTGGTATTTTATAAAGGTTTGTGGGTTTTAAATAATTTCAAGATTTTGTTTGTCTGAACACTTGCAGTTGGTAACTATATTACAATTAACTTCTGGGACTCCTTGCCCTCAGGAGCAGTGCATGAGGCAGTGATGAGGATGTGGACTTTTAATTTCAAGCAAAAAAACAACAACAGATGATTAATGTTGCTGCTACTTCTTGTAAGTAGTTGTGTGCTAAGTGCAATTATGAAAACAAAATAAAATTCAGAAAGCAATCTTGTTAGTATTGTTTTCCAAGAAGGATACTTTGTTAACTTTCCTCACATTGCAAAGTAACATTCAGTGGGGAAGTTTGTTAAATATTCTGCAATTACTTTCAGTATTAAGGGGATATGATGCTCTGCAACATTCAGCTCTCAGTCATACTGTAGGTAGTAACTTACCCTTTGCTTTTTATTTTTAATATTGAATTAAAGGCTTTGCTTATCAAATCATTGAGTAAGTCTCATAAACTTACATCATATCCACTGTTGCGAATTCCACGCCGTGGTCTCTCCCGAGTAACTAGAAGATCCATTTCAGTTTCTCCTGGGCTAGGACTGTTCAGAGACTGCCTGCTTCTATACACAGAATTCTTCATCTGTTGCCTAGAGCAAATCCAACAAGAAACTATTAAAATGAATGTAAGGAAGAAAAATAAATGACAGAATGGTCTCCAGCTGTAACCTTTATTCTAAAATTATTTTAATTATTAAAAAGTTACTTTTGAATAGAATACCCTTTCTATAACCACAGAACTGCTGAAAGCATTCGGTTTTGTTTTCCTTAATTCAAATGCCTACGTAAAGAGAAGAGGCATCATAAACTAATGAATACCAGTTGAGATATGATCCAGGTGAATACCAGAAACTTTGTAGTTTGCAATAGATGCAATATAAAATAAATAAGTGCAATTAACATTAAACTACCAAAGTCAGTGGGTGCTGAAGGTGCTGAGAAACTCTGGGTGTAGACAGAAGTAACTTTAGAAATGTTTCCAAGTACAGTAGGATTGAAAATCTTTCAAAAGCCTCTCATTGCAGCTGCAGAACATGTGTATAGCCCCTGTGGTGCCCCCTCAGGCTGGCACTATTCAAAACTGCAGTGGCTGAATGAAGACTTTTCAGCCAGGGAGTGCTATATGGGGCTGTAGTGACCTGCAGTTCCACTTCCACCATGGGAAGATAGTGGGGTAGGTAAAGGGGAGTGGAAAGAGGAGGAGGAAAGCACAGGTTGGGTCAGAGGAGCTCCTGATACTCCAGATGCACTCCTGAACCTCTTCTCTTCTGAAACTCTCTCTAATAAAGAGTTATCAACCTGTGGAGTGAAGTCAATGGAGACACGTCTGTGCCACCATTCCCAGCCTTCATAACACAGGGCATAATCCAAAGTGGAGATGAAGTTAGGTTGGCCTTCTATACCATTCCATTGATCTAAAGTTGCAGTTGTGTAATTTTTACACCAACATCTTTTGAACCTCTCAGGATGGAGAGCTAGAGCTTAAGAAGGTAGAAGGAGGAATGGTTGGAGGAGTGCTCTGCTCAACTTGCCTCTGGATGAGGTAACATTCTCTTAAAGTGTATCAATTAAGTGTCCCCAAACTGCACTATGGACAAGGTCAGCTGTAGTTAACACCCAAAGGAGGGCAAAGGTGATGTAAAGATCATCCCTTGGAGGATGGAAAACCAAATGATCACACTATTCTGTCGTTGTTCTGAATCTCTTCTGTTTCTATCAAACTTTTCTTTCTGTGTTGCTGGAACACTGTAAAACAGAAATAAATCATCCCTTTGGAAACTACACAATACATGCACATGCTTATATTCTATAGCAAGGGTCATCAAGCTGTGGTGTGTCAGTATTCCCTCCTCTGTATAGCAATCACTGATCTTGTAATTATATAGCAGTGTAATTTCCCAGTAGAGTAGCTACATGGTTATTACTGTATAATATACAGTTATTTTTGTCTGCCTAGATAAAATGATCAGACAACTACATACTATTTCCTGGTTTATACACCAGAATACCTTCTATTCAGTGTATATGAAAATCCAAACCAGCCGGAGAGGAGCACATCTAGCAGTAGCAGGCAAACATAAATCCTTCTGCATCATGGTGTATGTGTGAGAGGTGACTATTACCTTTGACACATACATCCAGGCATGAGTATGGAGGAGTGGAGGCTGCCCAGACCTTCCATCTCTGCTTTAAACCATTGAGACAGAATCTAAAGGCCAGACTGAGTCCAGACATTCAGTGCCTCTATGGCTGTAGTTATATGCACATCCAGGAATTTAATCCAACTCTCCCGTGTGCAGGCAAGGATTCAACCACTGAACCACAACAGCAGGTGGAACACATTTACTAGTTGCATAATGTCAATCTTGATTCTAGCTATACTGAAGTAATGGAGCTTTCATTGGTATACATGAAACATCAACACTTCCATGCAGTGAACATTTGCAAGATAAGACTTGCCTTGCATTTCTTACAACAGAAATGGAAGAGAACATACTTAAAAAAGTAACATGTTTCTTTATTTATTTATACCCTGGTAGCAGGCAAAAGCCCCAGACAGAGATCAAAGCCAACTGTATTAGGCTCTTTAGGTATCTATAATGAAAACAAGAAAGGGGCAACAGAGAAGGAGTAAAGGTGAAGTTGGGAACCATATATGGGATGACAGGTAGGGTAGAAATGAGCTATGAAGAAACTTAAAAATCTTGGAATGACCATAGTTCTTTGTGAAACGATTAAAAGAAGATCACCTAAAATTAGTAGAGGCATAAGAAGACTGCCATGTTGGAAAGACTGAGACTTCCATTACAGCCCCATGGGACAAATGTTAAGTACCAACTACCAGAGAATCAAAGCAAATAGGACTCTCTATCCTTTCAAGAGCAAAGGACAGTCTACAAAACTAAAAATAAATGCTTGAAAAAGAAACTTTTATTTACATATGGACTCACTAACATTAGATACACACATACATACATACATACATACACACACACGTAACTTTGGACATACACATGATAGAAGCAAACTGCAAACGGTGATTGAAAACATAATTCATTAAGTTTTAAACAATACAGCTCAAATTTCTAGACTTCAACATAACAGCTATCTTTCATGATACATCTTTCAATCTGATTTTCCAACTCATAGAAAATATTTTCCAGTTGCTACTGAGTGATTTCATGAAATAAAATGAAAAAAATATTCTTACATTATGCTAAAAAACTTAATGAATTATGCTTTCAATTGCCATTTACAGTTTGCTTCTATCATGTGTCTATCCAAAGTTATTAACATTTAACGTTGCACAAGGCCTTTATAAACACCCTGTATATTCATTCTGCTACATTATTTGACTAATACTCTTAATATATTATTATTATATTAATAATGCTACTAATAGATATAGATATTTGAATTCTGCTACATTATTTAATATATATAGGTCAAATAATGTAGCAGAATTCAAAAAGAAAAGCTCATTTATTGTGAACAACAACAGTTCTAACATCACTAACTAGAACAGCAGCAGAGGTATCAACATACAGTTCTAAGTCTCTCATTAAACAAAGTACTTAAGCACATGGTTGATTTAAGGGTGGGATTGTGAAAAATACCATGTGACATAGGAGCACAAGTTGCACAAGCAACTTTCAAAGGAATTTTTGCTCCTATTTCCCAATGGCGCATTTGAAAATTCCAGGGGCCTTACTGGTTCAGGGAATTATAGGAGTTTAGGAATAAACTCCTCTCTAGACATATTACTGAATACTTGTATATTGTATGTATATTATCCACCTTCTTCTGTAGACACAGATATGGAAGCAGACTGGCCCTGAATGTGATCTGGGATGACAATGCATATGTTCCAAAATTAGAGCTTTCTAGAACTGTATACTTCTCTTTCAAGGGGACATTTTCTGCAGTTTAATCAACTAGTGGTACATTTTCTAAAAGTTTCAAATACATGGCATCTAATACATGTGCATTCTTGAGCTGATTACAAACAATTAAGGAAAAAGACCCAGAACACTGCATATCATCAGCAGACTTACCACAATTGCCCTGAGATTGCCAATTAGCTGATTTAAAGAAGATTCACTAAAGAGAAGGGAGGTATCAACATTAACAACTAGCATTCAAATAGGTTTGCAAGTGTCTCCTGGGAACGAAAACAAAATTCTGTAGTGCCCAGAAGGCTGAAAGGGATGCAGAGCACAGGCATGTGGATTCTTGAACAAACCAAATTATTTAGAGCTGTTGTTTTATAAACAAAATTAAAAATGCTGTTTAAAACAAATCCAAATATATAAAGGTCAGCTTGAATAATGCAAATAATTCCTTTTTTTCCTGTTATATTTTGGAAGTACCATACATAAATGACAGCTTCGCAGTCAGAACAAGAGAAGAACATGACTTTTTCCCAGAGCTCTGAAATTTTTATCTTTTTACTTACTCCTAAAGATTATTTAAAACAATGGACTGTACATGTGGAGCCTTTTAAAATACAGGTTTTTAATTCCATATCAATCCATAGAAAATGATACAAAGCAAAATCATGTTGTTCTTATTCTGAAGTAGGTATCATTTAAGAGTAATGTTTTTATTATGGAATTATAGTGATAGTAATTAATCTTGCAGACAGTTGCAGTACCTTGCAATATAATTTTCCTGTACTCATCCAGTATCATATTATTGCTCTACAGCATATATTTAGCTGTGCTGTTGGTATAGCAACTGTTTATTAGTAAGAAACTGGAAGTTTAGCTGAGACACAAACATTCCCAACATTTGGAAATGCATCAGCAAATATTTTTTTATTTTAGCTCACATAGTCCACATTTAGTGAAGAGATATCTGGACTCTTCACACAGTTAGGGTTTACTGCTTCAGGTAAAGAAGAAAGGGAAATCATTCCCCAAAGTTTAGTGTACATGCCTTGATGCATTTTTTCATAACCATTAAATATTAAAATACTCTCTTAGATTTACATAATACATTAGAGAGAACACCTAGAAAAAAGAACACTACAGGATCTCCTATCAATTCATGAAAAGAAAATGGTCAGTATTAAAGTTTCATGTGTAAAGTGTTAAACATCTCCCACGTCTCTTAGAGTACATAACAAACGCCTAAGACATGGTTTCAGCACTGCACTGTATGTACTGTAAATATTAATGTTCATGTTTCTACATTCCTCAACTATATTCTCAGGACAGATGGTGATAATAAAATAGGACTATTGTATCATGCTAATGCTCAATATCTTACCTTTCCTGTGCATATGTAACAATTTGTTCCTCCCTCACTGGAGATCTGTAAAAGAACTGATGCTCTGACCCTCCAGCAAGGACACCAGATACAGTTTAATCAGAATCTTTATTCTTCATTGACCTGTACAACCCTGGGACAAGTCTTCCTGAGCACAGTCTCCTTCAGTCATTTAACTCTCTCCAGGCTCCTGGGTACACAAGCTCATTTGGCTTCAGCAGTTGCTTATATTCCAAGACAACCTTTCCTTTACAATTCCAGTTACAACCTCTCATCTCTGCCCACAAAAGGTAATTGTGGCAGCTATTCTGAATGCAAAGGCCCTTTGATTATTGCTCCTTTAAGTACTGATGGTGTTAAATCTATTAGCAAAAGTTGGATCTGAACTAATCAAACAATGAGAACAGAACGGAGATCTCTATCCATGAGGAGTCTGAAGAAGAAGAGTATTTAGATATACCCCTTCCCCTTCTACAATAATGTCCTGATGTCATTTTCCTCTGACTACATAAAGGATTAAAATGTGGTAAAGAGCTACACACAATTTGAGGTGGTGAGACATCTCAGTGGGAGCCCTAAAGAGATACTACCTCACACAGTCACAATGCCTCCACACAGATCCCCTGTATGACACAAAAATGGGCATGCTATGCAACTCCTGTATAGGCCAGCTTGATTGGCAGGTGAGGGGTAAGACTGTTGGGACCTCCTCTCTTTTCGGACAGCCTGCACTCCAGGAAGCACTGATAAAGGACTTAGCAGACAGAAGCATGTGCAACAGCGAGCAGCCTCTGTGCAATGGATCTAAACAGGATGAAGAGGAAATCTGTACCTTTTCGTGAATTCTCTTGCGTACAGAGATGAGCATTCTATATTTGTAAATTACTTCCAAGAGCCAACACAGTGCTACACAAACACTGGCTATATGTTACACAACCACCTCTTCTCAATTTAAAGAGGAGCTAATTATGCCATAGATTAAATGACTTGTCGAGATCACAGCAATCCACAGAGTACACTTATAGCCTTGCAGACACCATTATCTGCTAAACAAGCTACTGAAATGAATTGACTTTATGATGTTTAGGTAATACTGCTAGGTTTTAAAAAGTTATTTATTTGTAAGGTCCAACTTTGGAAATAATTGCAGGTGTACTTGAAACAAAACAATGGTTTAGAACACTGTTGGACTTTGCCAAAGAGCAGTTTTGGACGCCAACTTTTTGGCCTAAGTCCATTTCTATTCTTTGAGTAAAAGCTATTATCATACTTCCAATTTAGTTATTTTGAAAAAAACGGCTCACAAAATACATGGAAATTCTACCCTTCAAATATTGTTTTTCTTTCCATTTTTTCCTTTGTTACCATGTTACTACATACCACACTTTCACAAATTTTCCAGAAATAATCAGTTTTCTTCATGAAACAGGAGACACCAAACGAATAAAATAGCATGTAAAAGATTTTCTTCATCAGTGATGGACGTTTCCACTTGAGGTAATTATTCTTCTTACAGTCCATGGGTAATACCAATCCCATAACAAGGACGGAACTTTGTATTAAAACTAGCCAATTGCCCATCAAGAATGACGGGGGAAGAGGAAGAGGGGTGGGAATGAAGCACTGCCACCCACCAGCCCGTGCCACCACCTCCTCCCAAGGAGGAGCTTGTCCCGCCATCCCCCTCCGCCAGTACCCCATGCCGTCGCTGCCTCTAGCACTGCTGGCCTCATCACCCTCCCCCCTGGCTCTGCTCTTCGGAGGCGGCAGAGCACCACCATGATGAAAGGGACAGAGCAGGGAGGTGAGCCCAGTGCCACTGGCGTCATCCCCCCACTCCATCCCCTCCATCCCCACTATCATGGAGGTGCTCCACACTCTGACTGATTGTTTTACTAACCAATCAGAGTGGTCCAAGAGCATTACAGACAGACAGACAGATGGACTAAGGTCTTTATTATATAAGATGCACAAACATCTCACCTGTTTTTAGGCTCTGCAAATGGAGAAGATGCATCTATTTCTGGATCCAAACCATGATCTATTTCTTTTTGAGGTTTTTCATACATCTTTCTTCTTTCCGTCAGTCCCTTACTGTTATCAACCTGAGGAAAATCATAGTACCCTTTCCTCTTGGCTTTCAAGCGCAGCTTGTTGCGATAATGTTCTATGTCAGACTTCTGCTTCAAGGCTTTGTTCACCTAGAAGAATGCAAAAGGACTTCTAGATAAAAGTAACTTGCTGATGAATTCTAAACTACATTTTGAAAGTGTATTTGATGCACAATGTGTATTGCTTTGGATTGTGCCTCTTGGACCACAACACACCATCTGTCAACAGTAGGGAAGTACAAGTGAACAGAGTCACTGTATTTTATATCATTTGGCAGATGGTTGAATAATTGTAGCCTACTGGAACTCTGTACCTCCTAACAGTGACTCCATTTACACCCCTGAAGAAGAACACTAAGGATGTTAGCCAATCATCTTCACAATCAAAAGTAATGTTTGTTTTCAGGGAGGATGGGGCGGGGGAAGCATTTTATACATTTGAACAAATTGAAGCTCTTCTCCAAAGTCAGTGTAAAAATGTTGAAAGTACCTAGTTTTTGTGCTAAAATGCAAATGCCACAAATCTCTTTATGAACTCCACGATGTTCCTGGGTTTTAATCAGATGATGCACAACTACTATTCCTTGAAAGAAAATAGGTACTGAATATAAGTTACTGCTCCGGGGAATCAATAGCTGTGGCACTTCAGGGCTTAAAGTACAAAACTAAACATGATATTTACCCAAATTTGAATCCTCACACACAGCCTGTCAGAATTATTATTTACTGTGTTCTAACCTAGGCGTAATGTTGTGTTTGACCCATAAAAGAGCCAAGGGCAAGATTGTGGGTGGCCCTCACATGAGTGCTTAGCCTGAGAAGTGCAAAATAAAACCTTCCCCCAACTCCAAGGCATTACACAGATATAAATTTGCCGACCCCCTCAGTAAATCAGCATGTTTCTATGAACATTACATAGAAAACACTTGTAAAATAACATAAATCTCAGAGACAAAGGGTGGTACTTCGTTAACGGTCCAATTAAGCACCAATTCAAAATCACTTTGGTCCAACAGGAAAGTAATTGTGCTTAGTATGTAGGCTGAAGCACAGATTGTACAAGGCCTGGCTTACTTCCTACCCACCCAGATTTTAGTAGGCAGGAGAGTCTAGTGAACAAAAACCTGGCTCTGACTTAAGAAAGCCTGGTTCATTTCCCACCTCAGTGATTTCCTGTGTAACTTTGCACAAACGTTCTAAGACAGTGTCCCTCCAATCCACACTTTATAAAAGGGAAGTCTTGGGAAAATTAAATCCCTTACTAGCTCCTGGGTATTCAAATAGCGCAATGCTGGAGTCCACAGACAGATTGACTGGCTCCTTTAGGGCACCATGTATTCAAAGATACAGAACCATATTCTCCACACACTCTGAGCACAATCTGCACTTCTTACAGGATTTTACAAAAGATATGCAGTTGAGTAAAAGGATGCTAGTATTCTTCTTCTCTCTTCACTCTACTTGACTAAAGTCCAGTATATTGTCAAGGAAAATACATGTGAAACACTGTCAGTTGGTCCTTACCTCCCCATTAATAATGGCAGATTCCTGGCTCCTATCTGATGCAGCATGGACAGGAGGCAATGCCACAGGTTTTATAGCGATCAGTTGTACAGATCCAGAAGATGTGTCGAAGGGATCAATGGCAGATTTAGCAATGCTGTTATCAAAGAGAATGCCTCCTTCCTCTTCATCACTTATGGGCACTAAAGCACATTATGTTTATTCAGTATATGATCTCAATCATTTTATTGCAGGTACATAAGAAAACTAAGTGGACACAGGCAATAGATTAATAGTGAAGTGTTTGATCCACTTTGCCTGAAGACTTCTACAACTTGAAAACTTGGACTTCAACCAGAATAAAGTTTTTCATGCAAGGTGTCATGTTAAAAGCAGGTACCCCAAAAGGAATATTTGTTTCCAAAAAGTCTGTGCAATTGAGATGGAAGAAAAAACAAAAACTGAATGATGTAGAAAGAGATGGTAGGAAAATGACAATGGAAGAAAAGTATGTCCTCCTCCACATGTGATATGAAAAAAGTTGGTGTGACAGTTTCCAAATGCCAGTGCATGAATACAAATATCTAGCACATTTTCTTTTAACAGAGCTTTTTTGAAATCTGAAAATAAAGCCCCTGATTTTAACAAGGGCTGCAAAGGCAATTACTACTTAAAATACACATGTTAAATTGAAGCACTAAAGTTACTATGCAGACATGCTCAAGGACTGCCACTCTCCCAAGTCATGTCATTTTGCCAAAAATTTACCATTTAAATTTATAAGGAGAAAGTAGAGGATTCCTGATGTAAAATATCTCTGAAAGTCTTTATATTTAAACAGCACGTCTGCTTAAATGGGCACCCTCCTTCAGTTCAAATTTGGCATTTTTCCAAAGTTTTGCTGATAAGCCAGCATCATATTGTCAGTCATAAATACCTAAACCCACTTTTTCCCATTTTGCAAAAAAAAACAATTATAAAGTATGGAGCAAGTTCTGCAGAGATCCTTACAAACACTTTTAAATAACTGTCTTATTAAAGAGATGAATATATTTGTTCTCTCTCAAATAACAGGAGTAGAAATCAGCTTCTGCTGAAGAACAAAGTGGTATGCTCTCAACTTACTTCCTGTGAAAATATATGCCATTTTAATTTTTAATCATCAAAAGAATTACAATGGAGCCATAGGAGACAGTAGGTAGTTTCAGAAAAAAAATATTTGATTATACTTGCATAAAATATGTAACCTACTGTATAAGCTTATTCATCTTGCTCTCTGAATTCACAGTAGAGTAAGTTGTCACTATTTGAAATGCTAAGAAATATATAGGTTATATAATGGTGTTACTAAATAATATCTCTCAGGATTTATAAAACTGTACAAATACAACTGTCTTCATTTTAGTCTGTCTGGAAGTTCTCTCAGACTCTTAAAAGGGTAGTTAAAACACAGTGTCATGAATCTTATAAACTTGCAGTGGTAAAGAGGGATGAAAACCTGGTCCCACTGAAGTCACCAGAAAAACTAAGGACTTCTGTGGGACCAAGATTTCAATTAGATCAGTGGTGCTCAACTTTTTGGTGATACAGGCCAGATGAGTGGCATAGGGCAAGTCTATGGGCCGGACTGGACCCTGAACACCAGAATCATTCCCGTGCCACCAAGTTGGAACCCATGCCTCTCCCTTGGCCCTGCAACCCAGATAAGGGCCCTGCACCACCTTCTTCAGCTCCATGGCACCAGATGGGGCCACCACACTGCTTTGCTTGGCCCCATGCTGCTGGATCCAGGCCCCACCCTGCCTTCACCTGGCCCATGTGCCCAGATTAGGCCCTAGGCCACCTCTGGCCACTGATCTAGTATGCTACGTGGCCCATGGGGCTCCCCACAAGTCCATAAATTTGGCAGCAGAGGAGCAGCAACTGCAGCCTCTGCTCCCCGACTGTCAAATGTTCAGATCCATGGGGACCCCCTGGGGGCTGGATGCTGTGGCTCCACAGGCTGGATCTGGCCTGTGGGCCAGGGTTTGAGCACCCTCTGAATTGGATGAACAGCCTGAAATTTATATAAACAGGGCTTTGGCCCCAAATGCCTGGACATAATAACCATTCTAATATAAGTATTTCTTGGAGGGGAGGGTTGTGCGGGGTGGTAAATGACTGCTATTAATGGTACAGTTCAGGTATATAAGCCAGGCATATAAGGTAGCACAATGACTTAGCCAGACGTAAGTTTTAAATTCAGACTCAAATTCAAATGTCAAACCTGTATTAAAGACTGACACAAACATTGCCTCAATCTTCATTGTCTTGTCTTTTCTCCAAATCTTCCATTAGAAAATAGAAATGCTTTCAAAATTCCTCTGCATTTCACACTTTCCAGTAAGCTCTAGAGCAGTGGTTCTCAACCTTTTTGCACTTGAGGCACCCTTCACTGGACTCAAGGTACCACTCCTTAACTTTTAGGAACTGACTAGCACCCACTTTCAAAAACTAATTTCTATGTTACCATGCTTACCTCCTTGTAGAGAGGTTGGGCAGTGGAGATGGAAAATCATCCGGTCAGGGGGCAAGCCTGAGCCTGTGCTTATTTGCTTACTTTACCTGCTTATCTCCTCACACCTTGTGGCACCCTTCAGAGGATCTGGCAGCACTCTGGCTGAGAATCACTGCTCTAGAGACAGCAAATGAGCAAAACCATCTTACCAACATGAAGCATTTCCAAGTAACCATACTTGCAGACTAAGTTGTCCGTGCAGCAATGAGCTCCATGCAGATAGAGCTCTACACCCATGTGAAACACGGCTGACTACTAACAGGCTTTATTCTAGGTGCAGAACTTCACCTGCCCAGAACTTACTGGTGGAGAAGATTCAAAGTGTTTTGCTTGGTTACACAAAATCCTCCACTTGCCAGGCTCATAGCCATTCAATACAAAGAGAAATGAGCAATAAAACAAATCAGAAATCACAAAGGGCAGTTACTTCCGATATGCGGTATTAACACATGACAGAATACTTTCCTCACATATAATATTAGTATAGTATTAGTATTCCTCATCTCCTGCAGCCAGCCAGGCACTTTTTGTGAGGCTATATTAATGATACCAGAAATTAGATGTTTATTCCACATTAGCTGAACATTTGCTGAGCTCAATTAAATTATTTTTTTGTCCATTACATTTCTTTGCATTGACAGATAAATGATAAAAAAAAGGGTGCAATTTATAGATATTGGCAAATTGTTGTAGATTAGACATAAAGTGAACTGTAAGAAAGCACCACAGGCACTTTAATGTTGGCTCTTATTTGTCTCTTTCCCAGAGAATTCACAGTAAATGCTCAGAATGAGATTAAAGTCCAAGACACTATATAACTCATCAAGAAACTGAGCAAAGGAAGCTCACATGAAAAACTAGAAGTCTTTGAGGGCTACTTTTGTATCTCTGCACAGTTCACCACATCCTTCTATCTATGTCTCTGAACGTATGGGTTTGGAGGAAGGATGTAGATGACTGAAAACTTTAAAATATCCAAATGTTATCTTAAGTCACTCACAAAAGTGTCATGTGTTTCTTATAAGTAAAACTAAAAGGGGAAAAAGCTTTCTCAGCCCACATTTAAAGCAATACTCTTTAGTTTCTCTTTAAGCAATTGAACATCAATACCACATTGGTTTAATTATACTCTGCTTCTCTTTCCAAAGCAAAGAATGAGAGAAAGAGAGTTTAAGTTCAAGGGAGAAAGAAAGGGAAAAATTTACTCACCTACCAGTAAGTATCTTTCCTGAAGGAGGAACCTAGCACTCAGTGAACTTTAATGTAGAGCCCATTACAACTGAATGTTTCACTTCCTAGGCTCTATCTTTAAAAATCCCTTTCTCTTTAAGCAAATGTCTACACTGCACTCAGGAGATGTGACTGCAGCACACATACAAGTACTCAGGATAGCATTAATCCAATTAGCTCAAGTACTAACAGCAGTGCAGGGCTGTGGTAGTGACTTTGTAACCCTGCCTGGACATAGAGTATGTACTCTGGGGGCAGTTAGCCTGCACTGAAAACAGCACTGCCTATATTCACTGCAACTTTTACCTTAACTCTGGAGATTAAAGCTGCCTCCAGCGAGCCTGCATATGCTGCAATCACACCTGATTGCAGTATTGATATACCTTATCTTTGCACTGTAGTTCCAGCAGGTGGAGCTAATCACTCACCTCTCTGGCTTCTCAGCCAAGTAGCTAAGCTGAAAACACAAACTAGGGGCGCACAGTTAAAGACTTTCTTGGCCAATAGCTGATTATTAGCCAGCCATATCAGCCAATACCATTCCAATAATAGATATTTAATAATAAAGCTCGTCAAACAAGCTTTAGTTTAAGCACCCCCACTGCCATTTCTAAGTGTGGGGATACTGATACAGGAGACAGTGGCACTTTCATTAAAGTGGCTCTCAGAGCCGCGCTAATTAAAGCATCCCCCAACCCACACACACACACACACACACATAACTCCCAGAGCACATGTAAAAGTGCCCCATGCCATTTGCAGCCCCTGCCCTTCAACCCCAGTCTGGGAGCAGCTGCCTGAGCCTGAGGCTGCCCAGGGTTGGGTGATCTCTGGGTACTTTCATTAGAGTGGCCCTTGGAGCCACTCTAATTAAAGCACTGCTTCCTCACTCCCAGGGGCTCCCTGCTGGGAGAAGGACCCTGCTGCACACAGTGGGGGGAGCGGCTGCCCCAGCCCCTGCCAGGCTCTGTCCCCAGGCCCTGGGGTACAGACCCTGGGTACTGTGTGTTGAGTCATGCTGGGCTGGGCTGGGCAGCTCAGCTGTGCCTGCCCCTCCCTGCCCCAGTCATGTCTCCAGCATTTACAATGCCTGCCCCAGCCCACAGTCCACACTGTGCCACACCACACCAGCACCCGGGACACCATGGCAGCTGCTCCACTCCAGCCCAGCCTGCCAGTGAGAAGCTGGGGGTGTATCCAGGGTCACATCGGCTTGCGGGAGGGAAGCCACGTGTCCAGGGGCCCCAACATAATTAAATTCTTGGAGAATATTATCGGTTACATTGGCCAAAAAAAGCCGACAGTCAATAACATTAATTTCCCTTTTATCGGTGCCAGTCCAATGCATGACCAATATATCAGTGCACTCCAGCACAGACTGATTAATATTATGAAAGAAAAGGAAAGATACTTTGT